CTCAATTATTTATTGTTTTGATTTTATTAGATTTTTTTCGATAATGTTCAATAATATGTGATTTGCTATCTTAAATATTATCAAAATGCTACTGCTAATAAAAAAAAATTATGGATAATATCTCAAACCATCATCATTAATTGATCTGAGGAAATGAACTACATTTCCTTATTATTCATTATAATCAATTTAAACTTTTTGCTCTCTCAACATAATTTTAATAATCAATTACTTATTTAGCTTAATTTTAAATTTACTTCCACTCTCCAACCTTGAAATAATTATTAGAGGCGTTATAATAATATCTTTCTGTTATTCTATCAATTCCAATTATCAATTAATTATTTAGGTAAAAAGAGAAGGACGAATTATAAAAAATGTATTTAATAGAAAAATTTGTGAATAATACTTAAAACATATATTAAAAATTTTGTTTGCCCATTTTGAATTTTATCTCCCATCAAATCCCCCTAAATCTTTCTTTTCATTATTCACAATTCATTCTGGCAAGTCTTTATGAAAATTCTAAATCTATTAATAACTAAGAAATTATCATAAATATCTTTGATTTTATAAGTTTTTCCTAAATAAAAGACTGTTAATATGGCGAAATTGTTATTTAAAAAAAAAACACTGAGAAAAGATGATATTTGATAAAATCATTTCACATGTTTATTTTCCAAAAGCAGTTTACATATCAAATTTGATAATTCAGATTGTAAGCAGATTATTGTAATTTTGATTTGGTTCTGTGAATTGACTAAACATCAGATTTAATTCAGTTTCTTAATGCTGCCTAAAATTAAAATTTTTGCGTATTATCTCATAATGGAGTACCCAAATGAATGAAAATCACCATATTCTTAAGGTGGATGTTCTTTATAATTGAATAACGCTTCATTGTTCAGACATTGTTAACACTCCTTCAACTTCTGGAATTTTGGCGGATTCATCATACTATCATAAATTTTTCAAAATTTCGAAGGTAGATATATGAAATATAGACAAGATGTAAAGATGGATTTCAAATTCAATAGTTTTCGTTCCTTTTACTGGGTTAGGAGGACTATTTAAACCCAGTTGTTAAGCCTGAAAAATTGACAAGCCCAAACCTTTAAGCCTAGAATGATAAAATCAAAAAGCATCAACACTATCAATGATATTAATGTGTAAATTCAAATCAATATTAAGCCAACTTTTGAGAATGGGCTAAGCTAGCATAATATTCTAAAATAATAACTCAAAACAACACTTCGAAAATAGAGTATGATTTTCTTAGCCGAGTATATGCTATTGACTTTAGCATTATTCGAGGTTAGAAAAATAAATTAAGTAAAATTTATGGAACATGTTTGATTTATTAATTGCATTTTAAAATACGAAATTTTTATCATTCCTTATAATAATATAATTAATTATTAATTAATATAAGTTTATATACATTTTTATACCGGTATGGATTTTTATTTTAAATTTTATAAAAAAAATGTTATCCTTAGTCAATACAAAAATATCTTCATTACGGGGAGGTGGTTGTGGATCTTTTAGAATGAATCCAAGAACATATGAAAACTTACAGTCAGATATTTAAGATATAGACAATTTCATTACCAAATTTAGTTCTTTTGTTGAAATAATTTGTGCTAAAGCTGACGTTGCAATCAATTCAATAGAATCTTAAGAAATAATGATAGCCATATAATGGTTTATTTTTTAAGAGGAAAACATATACAAACTCAATAAGAATCCCTAAAATATCATGAAATCATACAACCTGATTGTAGAGGGTATCCGAAAATTATTGAAAAGTTGTTAAATCTATATTAGAACAGACTAGTTTAAATGTTTGTATATCTTATAGATTACAGCATCTCTATCCAAAGTGATCTTTAGTTTTCATGTAATGAATAGCGATAGAATTATGAATTTTGATTTATAAAAGGAATTTTTAGACATTTCTGATGACTTAAAATAATATATAGAAATAGAGAAGAATGATTTGATTTAAATTTAAATGGAAGTTTATCTTTTCTTAACAAAAACTTCTTTCGAAATAGTTCCAAATAATAGTAAAGAAAGGTAAGATATTGTAAAAGGATTTGTAAGTGGTATATTTGATTCGTTAATACAAATGAAACCTAATGCAGAATTACTTAAATTTTTATTTAAGGTAGTCCACTAAATGCACAACATTTATAAAATTAAAAACAATCGAAAACAATATGAAGTGTATTTTTAAATAGACATGTTATAATGGGAAATTATAGATTTTTTTAGAAATGAAAAATAACTAATACTAAATGAAATAATTTTACAAATTTAGTTAATATATGATGATCTGGTGAAAAATTCAAAAAATTGGATAAATCATTTTTTGTGGATTTAAATGATTGGGAAAATCTTAATATTTAATCCTCTTTTAACAAAACAAAGATTAAATTAGTTAATGAACTCTAATGATTTTGGAGTCAATTCAAAGTAAATGTGGAAGGAATATCAGAAGAAAGGATTACTTATTAAAATGGACCATACAAATGACTAAGCTGTCATTTTACTTAGTTAAGTTTAAAAGAATAAACTGATAGAACTTGATAGATAAGTGTTAGAAGAAAGTTTCAAAGGATGGGAAGACTTTCTTATATTTAAACAATATTTCATTGGTGAATTAAATGAAGGTACACCATTTACAATTAGTTCCTATTTAAAATGTAAATTAGATTTGTTTAGAAAAGATTCGTAAAAAAATGAAAAAATTTTGACTATTGAGAAAATGAAAATGCTTTTAAGTTTCATTATTCCAACTAAATTAATTAATTTAATTAAATAAAATAATGAAAATTTGGGGGAGGTGATTAAAGTTTAGAAATAATTTAGGGAAAATGATTAAGTTAATAAAAGACTATTATAAAGCACTGTTGATTCTTCATTAAAAAAGATCATTTGCAACTTATATGAATATTTGCAAAACACATAAAAAATTTTCAAAATTGTTAAGCTTAATTAGAATAACAATTACTGTCAGACTGAATAATTAAAATAGGCAAACAAATTTGAATTTAATATTTTATTTTAACTTAAATATTTGATGAAACTATTAGAAGAAATATTATAATAAGCAATTTAAGAAATAAAAAATAAAAGAAAACAATTCCGCAAGCAAGATGGTATAAATGATGAAATAATAATACTTTAGTAATAGAAAGAGTTGATTTAAGAGCAATTAAAAAATCTAAATCTCAAAGATAACCAGTTTTCATTTGTCAATAAGTTATAGTAGTAAATTCTTGATTTGCTAATTACAACTCTTGATTAAAAGAGCTTTTTGAAAAAAGCTGAAAGAATTTTAAGACTTATTAAAGATTCTAAAAATTAAATCTTAAGGCTAGAAATTATGTCATTTAAAAAGTGTAAATTTATTGAATGTTTTCAGAATTTATTGAATCATCTATATTTTGAATAAGATCACATGGTTGAAAAAATTCAAAAAGATGTTAATGAATCTATTTTAAGTTTTAAGGCAATTTTAATTTCATAGTATGAATTAGAGTCTATTTACGAATTTGTGGAAATTTAATAAAAAATTTCGAATATGCTATCATTTTAATTTGTATACAAATTAAGATTGAATAATTTAAAACTTCAATTCCAGCTAAATGCTTTGAAGGAGTCCTTTTAAAATATAATTCTAGCCTAATTGGAAGAATTTTAATAGTTGTAAAAAGTCATCGATTTGGATGAGTTTCTTGTTAATGTAATTAACAATTATCCAAAAAAAAAAATATTTTGCTGTCGTGACAATTTTTACAAAGAAATTATTGCTGAATTAACAAGCATGTAAATTACTGAGCAAGACTATTAAAATAAGTTGTCAAAATAAAAAGGAATATTAGAATACTTAATATTGGTATTAAGTTTAGAAGAATAATTGATTGATTTAGAAAAAATAGATTTAGAATTAATTGATAAGGAATTTTTTAAGGAAGAATCTTGTTCTTCCTCTTTAACAAATAGAATTATGACAATAATAGAAAATGCTTCAATTGAAAATTCAATAAAAATTGTAACTAATAAGCAATTTAATAGATCAGAATTGAATTTTGAGATAGAAAAATATTAGCGTATGTGGAAATAATTAAAAATTGTTGAGAAAAATTACAGTTTTAATAATATAGAAAATGTCAAATAAGTAATCAATCATATTGAGAAGGTTGTTGAGCTATTAAAAAATTCTTAAGATTAAAATTTAGAAATATTAAAAATACCAATTAGGGAATTGTTGGTGGAGTTAAAAAATAAAAAAATAGAATTTCAAAAAATAATATAGAATGACCATCAATAAAAATAAAATAAAAATGATGAAATTTTTACTACTGATAACAATCTTAATCAAGAAAATAAATTTGATTATTTCAAGACTAAAGGCAATCAAGAACATTTAAAAGATTTATAAACCAGCATCATTATTCTGAAATTATCATCATCAAAAATAAAAAAAGAAAAGCAGTTATTTTGCTAAATACTTGAAGAAACTAAACAATTCTCAGATAAACTTCATCTCATTCAAAAATATAATGAAAATATATAATCAAGAACATATAGGAAATTTAATAGTCATTTCTAAAATCAAATTCAAATTTTTGAATAATTGCAATGGACAACAGCTAATTTATAAAAAAATGAAAAAGAGTCATTTAAAGATTACTTTAATAGAATAGAAACCGATATATATTTAGTAAAAAATGAAAAAGATGATAGCTATATATAATAAAAAACAAATGTTTGCGATTTTCTCAATTTTTTTTAGGGAGAAATAAAATAAAAATTAGTCTAGTCTAAATGTGTGATCTCAAAAATTTAGTTTGATTAAGAATATCTGATCAAATAAATTAAAAAAATATATCTCTCTGAAGATGAGGAAGAAGAGTAAGAAGATAAAGATGATGTAGAATCAAATCAACAAGGATTATTTTAGTTTTTGAATCAAAAGTATAAAGATTATAAAAACAATGACGAATGGAAAATTAAATAGGGNTGGTATAAATGATGAAATAATAATACTTTAGTAATAGAAAGAGTTGATTTAAGAGCAATTAAAAAATCTAAATCTCAAAGATAACCAGTTTTCATTTGTCAATAAGTTATAGTAGTAAATTCTTGATTTGCTAATTACAACTCTTGATTAAAAGAGCTTTTTGAAAAAAGCTGAAAGAATTTTAAGACTTATTAAAGATTCTAAAAATTAAATCTTAAGGCTAGAAATTATGTCATTTAAAAAGTGTAAATTTATTGAATGTTTTCAGAATTTATTGAATCATCTATATTTTGAATAAGATCACATGGTTGAAAAAATTCAAAAAGATGTTAATGAATCTATTTTAAGTTTTAAGGCAATTTTAATTTCATAGTATGAATTAGAGTCTATTTACGAATTTGTGGAAATTTAATAAAAAATTTCGAATATGCTATCATTTTAATTTGTATACAAATTAAGATTGAATAATTTAAAACTTCAATTCCAGCTAAATGCTTTGAAGGAGTCCTTTTAAAATATAATTCTAGCCTAATTGGAAGAATTTTAATAGTTGTAAAAAGTCATCGATTTGGATGAGTTTCTTGTTAATGTAATTAACAATTATCCAAAAAAAAAAATATTTTGCTGTCGTGACAATTTTTACAAAGAAATTATTGCTGAATTAACAAGCATGTAAATTACTGAGCAAGACTATTAAAATAAGTTGTCAAAATAAAAAGGAATATTAGAATACTTAATATTGGTATTAAGTTTAGAAGAATAATTGATTGATTTAGAAAAAATAGATTTAGAATTAATTGATAAGGAATTTTTTAAGGAAGAATCTTGTTCTTCCTCTTTAACAAATAGAATTATGACAATAATAGAAAATGCTTCAATTGAAAATTCAATAAAAATTGTAACTAATAAGCAATTTAATAGATCAGAATTGAATTTTGAGATAGAAAAATATTAGCGTATGTGGAAATAATTAAAAATTGTTGAGAAAAATTACAGTTTTAATAATATAGAAAATGTCAAATAAGTAATCAATCATATTGAGAAGGTTGTTGAGCTATTAAAAAATTCTTAAGATTAAAATTTAGAAATATTAAAAATACCAATTAGGGAATTGTTGGTGGAGTTAAAAAATAAAAAAATAGAATTTCAAAAAATAATATAGAATGACCATCAATAAAAATAAAATAAAAATGATGAAATTTTTACTACTGATAACAATCTTAATCAAGAAAATAAATTTGATTATTTCAAGACTAAAGGCAATCAAGAACATTTAAAAGATTTATAAACCAGCATCATTATTCTGAAATTATCATCATCAAAAATAAAAAAAGAAAAGCAGTTATTTTGCTAAATACTTGAAGAAACTAAACAATTCTCAGATAAACTTCATCTCATTCAAAAATATAATGAAAATATATAATCAAGAACATATAGGAAATTTAATAGTCATTTCTAAAATCAAATTCAAATTTTTGAATAATTGCAATGGACAACAGCTAATTTATAAAAAAATGAAAAAGAGTCATTTAAAGATTACTTTAATAGAATAGAAACCGATATATATTTAGTAAAAAATGAAAAAGATGATAGCTATATATAATAAAAAACAAATGTTTGCGATTTTCTCAATTTTTTTTAGGGAGAAATAAAATAAAAATTAGTCTAGTCTAAATGTGTGATCTCAAAAATTTAGTTTGATTAAGAATATCTGATCAAATAAATTAAAAAAATATATCTCTCTGAAGATGAGGAAGAAGAGTAAGAAGATAAAGATGATGTAGAATCAAATCAACAAGGATTATTTTAGTTTTTGAATCAAAAGTATAAAGATTATAAAAACAATGACGAATGGAAAATTAAATAGGGTCTA